TCTTTTTTTTTTCTTTTTTGGATTGTGATTTTCATTCCTTTTTTTCCTGCCCTGCATTTTTTCTCTGTGCCCGCATTTGATGTGAAAGGATTTGGCACTAAGTCACAAGAGAGGGAAAAGGAGGGGGGATAAGGATGAAAAAGGAGGGAATATCATGAAAAGTGGATCAAAAAAGTAAATGAAAAATAATGTCATATTACTGAAAATATGAGAGGCTAATTTGTGCCGACTTTTTGCTAATTTTGTTCTTGCCACAGAAAGAAGTGCTGTCACCTGCTCTGCGCTACACTGATGACAGTGCCAGTGATCAATGAACACAGAAAGAAGTGCTGTCACCTGCTCTGCGCTACACTGATGACAGTGCCAGTGATCCATGAAATAAGCTGCCGCCGGCTTTGTTCTGATAAGAATGAACAAATCTGCACAATGTACTGCGCTCCGAATCTCATTTTCATACTTGCATGCAGGCTAAAAGAAATAAGCTGTTTGCAAGGCTTGATTAATCAGACATTTGAGAGCTTTTTTTCTTTTTTGTCTCTTTGATCTGTTCTGTCTCCTAGGTAACTTGCTTGACATTAATGTTGAGCCCCAGTAAAGACAATCGTGGATAGTAGACTGGACTGATTAAAAAAAAATTAAGACCTTTAATGCTTCGAATATAGTAATGTGTGTGAAAATTGGGGTGTCCCGGCTGGAAGAGCGAAGGGGGGCTTTATTTTGGTGGTGGGGGCAAAATTTAGTTAAAGCTGGAGTGGATGTGGGTAATCCTTGTGTCGAAAACGCAGATAAATCTCAAGATTTAAACCTCCTGACAGCAAAAAAAAATCCTCTTTTGTTGTCTCGAAATGCTGCTTTTTACCCATGACATTATTATATATATATTTTTTTAATAAAGCTTGTTTGCGATCTGGGCACGCTTTTCTGCTCGCGATAGCTTTAGCACCTATTCCGCTTAAACGCGCCTCTCCAAAAACACGCTGGTGTGAATTATCTGCGAGCGGATCTGTGCTAAACATGGGCATGATCACCCATTATAATTTCCCTCTCTGCGCTGACTTGCTAAAAAACATGATTTATGGCTCTTAAAACCTCGAAAAAAATGGCAAGGATTTAAAAAAACTGTCATAGTGTGTTAGCTTCAGGTTATGCAGACGCCTTTACAAATCTTCCAAGTGCCTGTATAGATGAATGCCTTGAGGGCCTAGCCGGAACCCCGCTCTCTCAGCCTGCTAAAGGCCTTATCTTAAATCCAAGCAAAGTACCATTAATCTTTTTGAAAGACCTTTATGGCTTTTAATGTATCCCAAATTAGAACATTTTACACCCTTGGTTCCTGAAATATGGCGATAAAAGGCCTTTAGAGTTTAATTTCTCCTTCCTGCTCGCTCTGACCTGCCTAATCCCAGCATGCATTAGGAGATATTTTAGTTTGAGTCTTTCTAATAAAGTTTATCCCACTTAATTATAATTGAAACATTTTTTTTTTCCACTCTCTTGCTCTCTCCAGGTTTTTTCGAGCCTACAAATGGTGGCACATTTCCTCATTACCAACTGAGTTTTTTGTGTGTTCCCTCTGATTGTGTTCTTTCACTGTTCTAAAGAATTACCCTTATATCCCCTCCCGAAAAAAAAAAATAATACAGTGGAGGCGAGAGAAAAGCAGTGGGTAAAAAAAAAAAAGGGTTTACGATTTGTCCGAGTGTTTATCAAAGTTTCTTGCGGTCCAATAATAAACCCATCCCGGGAGTGATGGAAAAGGCCCGGACTCTTCTTTTGTTTCCTGAGCCCTCTGTGTCACTCTGACTATTCGAATTAATCTAGCCACACCACACACATTTCCCCTCACTGATACCGCCGACATGCGCCTCTCGCCCTCCTCCATTCATTTAGCCATCCTAAGTGCGTGCACTGCAATTTTCAGAATTAAAAGTCCTCTTTAGATGAACGGATTAAGTATATGAGATAATAACATTAATTATGCACATCCAAGCTGAGTGGTGAAACAGAGGGTTGGCTGTCCTACTTCTATCTATGAACCGCAAATTCTTTTTTTTTTTTTTAACTGATGATGAAGGTTTGAACCGGAGGCATTCTTCGAGCACCACCTTGCCACCACTGGCAGGACTGGTGAGGTTTGCCAGGCAGACTGATTTTCTCCTGCTAATGGAGCTTGTCTCTGTCTCCTTCTCAATAGCTGGCCGTGAAAATCGCACAAGCCGCCGATTGCCGTGACTTCACCCGCACCAAACAGGAAGCGGAGGCTTCCAGGGCAGCCCGAAAAAGCAGGAAGCAAATCGCTTGGGGGTTTGTTGTCTTTTTTTTTTTTTTTTCTTCTGTTCATCCCTGGTGCTGATACCCTGCAGTTTCATTAAGTCACTCTGCATTTCACACTTTAAATGTCCCCTCTTTCCTGGACATGCTGCTGTGTGTTAACTCATGTGTGTTCACTTGAGCTTTCTAATGAGTATGTGGATGCGGCTTATATTTTTGGTCAGTCAGTCCCTTCAGAGGGTCTCTGAATGCCCATTGTGAGCTTATAGCTACGATTATACTTTTCAATTCAGTTTTTGCATTGCCTGCAATTATATGCAACCATATTTATCCAAACAAATCTGTATTTCTGCTTTGATTTATCTTTCTTTGTATTGCTTTTATGTTTTTTCTAAAATTCCCGATAATTTTGAGTCAAATTTGTCACATTCACTGCATTTTTTTTTTTTTGTGTGTAATTTTAGGTTTGAAGCAAAGAAAAGATGGGAAACCAAAAGCAATATGGGATTCATGTGACATTCACTGCAGTTGATGAGTAAAGATTTGGCATGTTGATAATTGTTTATAGAGGTAATCTTTTTATAATACAGTATTATTGCATTCAAATTTCCTGTTTTGTCATTTAACATTTTATTTCTTTCTGAATCAGTTTTTTGGTCAATCATTCAGATTTGTGGGTCATTTTTTTTATGTAGCTAAATAAATTCCATAAGCACACCATTATTGTTAGATTGGTCATTATTGTATGTATTTTCTTTTTTTTCTTTCTCATAATTAAATCTGCCGCATACAGCTGTACACGCCATTTATTTACTGCCGTAAGTGGGTTAATCAGGAGCCGCTTATTTTCTTCCACGGAGGTATGGAATGAGAGAAGAGAAAGGAGAGATTAGGGGCCTAATGCAATGTACAGGATAATATGCAATAGGATTTGCCTGGGCAAAATGAAATTTGTAGGCTGTAAGGAGGTTTGAGCAGTCATAAACGAGGAGTTTAGTCGGGTTCGAGTGTAAGATGACTGTGTGTGAGGGAGAAAGAGAACGAGATGGAGAACGGTGTGTATGACACTGGACTCAACACATGATGCATCTTTGAGAGGACAGTGAACAGTGCACATTTTTATAAGCCTGTCTGTTAGATAAGATTCAGTTGACTGCACTTTCCAAATATGAAATTTATTTATTTCTGTATAGAATGTATAGATATTATTCTATTGGTATAATTACTTTAAAGGAATAATTCCTAAAAAAATCATAAATCTGCTATTATATTTGTTCCAAACCTGTATGATTTTCTTTCCTCCAAGGAACTCAAAAGAAGAAGCTTTAAAAAATGTTAATGTTGCTCATTTCCATAAAATTAAAGTGAATTGGCACCAGGGGCAGTCAAGCTCCAAAAATGCACAACAAAACACCAGTGAAACATAATAGAAGTAATCCATATCCATATTTTCAATTTTTCCAAAACTTCTGAGGATATGTTATTGGCTTTCCTTGTGTTGAAAATAACAAAAAACACATGATGAGGGTAAATAAATAATGACAAAATTTGTAGAATTATTTATTTTATTTTATTTTATTTTTAGCAGGATGATTCTTTATGCCTAGCACCTTCCTTTTTAAACATCCCTCCCACCTCCACGGCTCTGTCTCGTGAGGTCATTAGCGGGAATGTGGAAACTCACTCACTTGATTTATGCTCTGCTGGCCTGAGGCGGTGACATCTGTAATTTTAGGGCTTTGACATACCCACCCTGACAACAGCCAACTAACAACTGTAGCACAAACTTGTCAGTGCTGCCTCAAGGCAAGGTGTGTGGTTTCAGCCCTGCCAGTTATCACGGAGACATCTCACTGAAAGTAAAGCTTCGCTCTATTGTAAATGCCTTCTTTAGTATATCAGTCAAATTGTGCTTAGTAGATCACTAGTATGTGAAGTCTTATACCGTGTCTACAGCGGATGCAAGGATCTAAAAGACAGTAGAACCCATTATAATCAGTGATTCTCTCTATACTGGATGTGGTGCGGCACGAGACGATACAACACGACAAATCCCCGACAGTAAACTGATGCCTTGTTCTGTTTCTGATGTTCTCGAAGTGCCTGCGCTACTTCTGACATGGAGGACAAATGGATTTGTTGCGTCCAGTGTAGATCACTTCTAGCTGTTGCGGTGTGATGCGAAAATGGTAACATTTAGTGTAGACACAGTGTTAGAAGTTTGCAGGCCAGTGTTTCCAATGATTCTTTCTGATAAAAACCTTAAAGTCTTTTAGAATTTATTCTGAAGAATCTAGATCTGAATACATTGCAAAATTTACATTGAAAAAATAAAAATAAATAAATAAAAATATTCTTAAGTTCTGTTAGATATTTAATGACTGCAAAGACTGAAATTCTCCAAGGAAAAAATTACATCTAAACTTTCGGACTATGTACTGAATTTGATGAAGAACCCAACGATGAATAATGTTGTTTGACAAACATTGATAAAAAAAAATGTTTACTTGGTTACAAAAAGGTTTTGTTTTAAATGTTGTTTATTTGAACTTACATTTTCATTGCTTCATTTTCATTCCCACGAAAATTTGTTGTTGTTTTTTTTTTTCTTTTCTTTTCTTTTCAGAAGGATCATGTGACACTGAGGACTATAGTAATGGCTGCTGAAAATTCAGGGTTGCATTCACAGAAAATAATACAATAGAAAAAGGGTATTATACATTTTAATTATATTTCACAATATTACTGTTTTACTTTATTTCTGATCAAACAAATGAGTGTGCAATAAAATACCCCAAACCTTTTAATCATAGTGTATGCTACATATTCAGATGTAGTGTTAGTCTTCAGTATATGAACATTCCATATCATTTATATCTGGTAATTATCTATTTAAAATTGAGATTCTGTAATCAGATAGCTCTGTAAAGCATTACAGTACACTCTTAAAAATAAAGGTGCTTCACGATGCCATAGAAGAACCTTTTTGTCTTTATGAAACTTGCCTTGATTTATGCATATTTCAATAACTCATGCTTCCACATATCACAAACATCTCAGAATGTGTTTAGAAAATGTCCAAGGCTAAACCGCATCTCATCAGTCTACCATTAGTCATCTCTGTCTTTTTGTCTTTAAGGAGGGCACATGTCATCACCTGTGAGATGCTAATTACACTCATCTTGCAGAAGTCTTCACACTGAATGTCTCCTCTGCTGAAAGATTACATCTTTTCACCATTCCAGAATTCCAGGCCTTGCATCACTGGACTGAAATTCACACACATTTACAATGCAAAGGCTTGTGCAAAATATTTGTATTGTTGCATTGCGCAACAGCCTGAAGAATGTTTCCAACAGTGTTGTGAGGTTTGCCAGAGACATTTATAATTATTAGGTATAAAACACACAGTCAGTTTTTGTCTTGAAGTGGTAAGTGATGTTTTAAGTTAATGCAAATACAAATTATACTATATAAGTGACCCTATATAGTTTCCTACAGAATTTGTGAACTTTTTGTTGCAGCAGGGGAGATAATATCCATATATATTTATACACTACTTATTGAAAGTTATTTTAAATTGTAATAATATTTCTCAATATTTCTGCTTTTACTATATTTTTAATAAAATAAATGCAGCCTTGGTGAACATAAGATATATATATATATATATATATATACACACTACTTCTTGAAAGTTATTTTAAATTGTAATAATATTTCTCAATATTACTGCTTTTACTATATTTTTAATAAAATAAATGCAGCCTTGGTGAACATAAGAGACCTTTCAAAAACATTGAAAGGGCCGCAATATTTTGAACGGTAGTGAATATATACTGTATATATATATGAGTATGAATAGTTTATTCATTCACTGATATGACTGAAAATAATAACTTGTTCAGTAAGTGATGTTGATTCAATAACTGCTGGATTCAGTTCAGTGATGGATTTGCCAGACTAATTCAAATCGGAACTTGTCTTTTTTAGATATTCATTAAAAGTATCATAAAAATAGGCTCATAGAAAAAATATTGTTTTGGTAATCACGCTACATTGATTGAGCTGTATGTTTTTGATTCAACAAAAAGAACCAATTCATAAGAGTCATGTTTGTGTATCAGAACAAAATTTTTGTGTGCAGTTTGTGAGTTTTTTCCCATGATGATTCACAGTCTTTATTGCATGACATTCAATACAGACTGAACTCTCATTCAAAATTCAGAAAAAAATTACTTGTTTTTTTTTCTTACATCTGTGTATCTAGCATTTTCTTTAGGTTTCTTAAGTTTTAATGTAAATCTTTGTCCACCACAGTTGCTCAGCAATGGGATGAAGTAAGTAGAATCTATTAAGCCGTCCAGTATTCTCGTGGTACAGTACCTTGCATCCTTTTGGTCATTTAAAACCAATGGCAAAAATATTGACATATGGCACATGAAATCCTTTGTTCCAGTAAAAACCGAGCAATGATTTGTGTGAGCAAAACCTGCAACACACTCCTCAGCCTTTTGAAAATAACCTGTACATCATTTACAGTAATCCCATGTCCTCCAGGAGTCCGGAAGGCACATGCATCTGCTGAGAAGCTAGTGTCGAGCAGCATACATAAACCATTTCACCATGAGGAAATGCTCGAGACCGGCTTTGAGAGAACATGACCATCCTTCCACTTAGAGGGGTGGCTTGACGGCTCGGTTCCCTATCAAAAGCATCTCCGTCTATTAATCTCTTTGAACATGGCACAAAGCCTTGAGCTGTGCGTTTGTAGCATCTAAAGCAGGACAATCCGCTTGTTGACATCTTGTAGTTTTGCAGCTTGTGCAGTGTTTTTTAACTGCAGGGCCAGGCTTGCACCTTGACCCGTGTTGATTTGTTGTGAAGCGCAGAGGAAAACTCTTGATGCACATGTTGAAACACTTAAGGGGGGAAAATGGTTATTGTTAGGAAAAGAATAACATAAAAAAAAAAAATCTGTGACACCAATCCTATTAGATGCTTGAACGTGGCTACGGTGCGTTGAAATCCAGGTTTTTGCCGTGAAGGAGACATACGGATGTGGTAATCCCTCTTCACTAGAAACCTGCCTCACTTGAGGAAAAGAGCATGTAAACAGAAAGACAACAAGTGGAATCTTGAGGACAAAATCACAGCCGAGATTCCCTAGATAAGCTGTGTTTAGCATGTCGAACAGTGTGATTAACACCAATCCATTTGGGAGATGAATACAATTTAGCTTCGAACCAATTAAACGTTTTGTTGTGTTCGTGTGCGACCAGGCACTGCTAGCATTCATTTCACTGTAAGACAGGAAAAGAGGAGCTGTCTGCGAGGATGTTGATATTTTCCTCCGCTGATTTAACGACCCGCTTAATTCCGCCGTATCCGCGGCCCTCGCAGATGTTTTGCAGTTTTAATTAGTGTAATCATCGCTCTTGAGAGAGGCCAGGAGGTCACTCAGCGGGCCTTGCTTGTCAAGATGCTCAGAATAATAACAAAAGACGTGTCATTTATTCTGTCGCTGCGTTCATGAAATAATTATATGTGTCAAGACAAAAGATTCGTAATCAGTCAGGAGAAGAAAAAAATAGACTCATTACAGAGTCAAATGAACCTCAAGAAAATGAGTTGGACTGTTTATGTTACTGTAGCGGCAGTATTTCAAAAGCATTAGATGGATATTTTCTGAAATTATCTGCAAATTTTGGATGATGAGGGCAG